AAGTCATCCAGTTCAAAAGAAACACACCGGAACATGTGTGTTAGTTCTTCTGATTCAGAAAAGTTAACCGAAACACTCAAAGTAATAATCTGGTTTTGCTTGGTTACACACCAGAACACATAAAAGAAGTCATCCAGTTTGATTGTTGTGTTCCGAAATACTTTCATAAAGTCATCCTGTTTTGACATATTACATACTGAAAGACCCTTGTGAAGTGTTCCGGTTGTGTTGCAAATGTAATCCAGTATTATTTTTTTTGTTAATTTGACAGTGACGCAAAGACGAAGATTAGACAATATGATTCATGTTCGCGATTTAGGACCACACGGGATTGCTCCTATGTTGATAGGAGAGGAAGAACATGTTGGTCCATATGCGCTTGTCACATAACTGCCACAACTGCGAGTTGGATTTCCAGGAGGGCCGACCGATGCGTCTCTTCTAGTGAAGTATGAGCATCATATTACTCGACATGTATGGTTCAGTGAGGTAAGCAAAAGAAATTTAATTTGTATCGAATAATATTTTTATTTTTAAATGTGTATTTTTAGTTGTTTTTAGATGTGTTTTTTATTTTTTTCAGGAGAGAGGTCCGAAGAAAGAGCTGAAAGTTACTGGACATGGACAAAAGCTTAAGGATATGGTTCTTATTGCTCTCCCACGAGAGACAGAGGATTTGGTGTCTAGGTCTGGTGTCCAATGAACATGAACATTGTTTATTGGTATCGGTATACCACCAATAACGTATCTCTCTAACTCATAAGCACAAGGTAACCCATAATTTATTCTATAAGTACAACCATATTTGTTCCTGTCAGTTCCAACATAATCAATCCTTGATAACTCTTCAGCAATGCGTCTCAAAGCAACTCTAGATATAGAACCACACAGATTACCTTAAAATGGACTTATATGTGTGTGCTCAACTTCATAAAAACTTTTTTGAAAAGAAGCTTGACTGTTACCTATTTGTAACTTCAGATTGTTATTCATATCTTCCCAACATTTGACCATGTCACCAATACCATTACCCAACATCTGCTTTAACTTCCAATGTGCAGACTCAACCCTAAAAATATAACATAGTAAAAAAAATTAAAAAATAAACATTGTAAAAATTAAGGCATAATAAAAATACTACAAAAATGACATACCGATTAGTGGCGGTGTTACCTAAATTAAGTACTCGATTAATCCATACTCCAATAAATCTATGTCTATATGAAGTCAACCATGTGTCTTTCACATAATCAATAAATTCACTACAATCAAAACATGTTTGTTCAAGTTGGTGTAATCGTTGACTATACTCAACCTCATCACTAGCCCATGCAAGTTCCATCCATAATGTATCTATGGTCTCTTGCATGTCTTTAACCACACATTTCTTGCATCTTGTACCAATATTTTTGTTAATGTGGAATCGACATAGCAAATTAATCGTTGTAGGAAACACAACTTCAACTGCTATCATCAAAGAAAGATATCTATCCGTCAAAATCACTTGTAGACATAAATCTTTCTTCACAAATAATTTCTTCAGCTTATCCAAGACCCAACAAAAACTATATGTCTGCTTATACTCCATATAAGTAAATGCAACAACAAATGTAAACTAGGTCGATGTCATGCCAACAATTACAAGCAGAGGTTGTCTATATTTATTTATCTTATAAGTGTTATCCATCACTAACACAATAGGAAAATATTCAGTAACTTAACTGAATCTGGATGCGCCCAAAAAATATCTCTCACAACTTCTGAGTCATCTCTTTTACTACTCCACTAAACATAGACGGCATCCTCTATAAGCTTAAGCAAATGTTGTATCTCACTTCTTGGACCTCTTATCTCTTTTTCTATCACACTCTTATGTTTATATATTTGCGTGATCCAAGTGACACTCTCAGAATCTCGCTCTTGCAAGGAAAGCAATATGTGTCTAGGTGGAACATGTCTCTTTGTCAAATCAACAACATGCTAGTTATCATCTGTCGTCAACCTACCAACAAACGCATGACCTTTTAATCTATCAGGTAATCCATGATTATGAACTCCACATTTTACATTAACCTTCCATTCAGACCCATCTTTTGCTGGAGTCGACCTGATTTTGAATGGACATCCACATCTCTTAGTCGCACTTTGAGTTTCACTTATATCCTTGTATTTTCCCCCTTTATCGTAACCAAACATTACTTTTTAACTTCTTCCTCTCTTGCTTGTTTCGGTGTCTGAAAGCTTGATAATAACAATTACTTTATTTCTGATTCTAACCTCTTTAATCCATCTTATAACCTCTTCTCGTGTATCGAATCTTTGAGCACTTGAGAATACATCAATGATATCTACAAAGTTCTCCTTTTTTGGGAAAATTTGGAGCGTAATTTTCATACCTGAAAAAGTTTCTTTTTAAAAAGCGCATCGGAAAACTTGGGATGAGTGTTCCGGTTCAGGTTTTAAGACTCACTAGAACATTGTGGACATGTGTTCCGGTTAACAAAATGCACACCTAGAGGACTTTTCAGAAGTGTTCTGATTTACATAAATTTTCCACCCCAATCCAAAATGCTCTATACAACTCTTTCAAAATATTTTTCTCTAAATCTGACCACTTTGATCAACTATTTCGATTTGTTAAAATACATACCGGAAGACTTTCTTGAAGTGTTCCAGAATGCAAGCATGGGTGTAGTTGATAATCATACTATTTTTAAATTGTTGTCTTTTATGGATGCATACTATGAATACAACCAGATCCTCATGGAAAAAGGGACAAAAAACTCAACTTTCATGACCGAATCATGCAACTATTACTACAACGTAATACCCTTCAGCTTGAAAAATATCGGTGCCATGTATAAAAGGATGATGAACAAAGTCTTCTGAGGAGGGATTGGAGACATGTTCGAGGTCTATATGGACGATATGGTCGTGAAATCCCAAGAGGAGTCCGACCTTACGCTCCACCTAAAAAGGGTGTTCGACCAAGCAAGGAAGTGCAAAATGCGATTCAACCATAGAAATGCACCTTCGGCGTAAGGCAGTAAATTCCTCAGCTTCTACCTAACATAACGAGGAATTGAAGCCAACCCCGAAAAGTTTAGGGCATTCTCTGAGTTTCCAACGCCAAATTCAAAAAAGTCAATCCAATCTCTAAGCAAGATGCTGACCTCGTTATCCCGCTTCATGGAAAAAAATGTCTATGAGCAAAAAGAATACTTTGGCTTTACTGTTATGAACTCTAGACTTCCGCAGGAAGATCCTTGTCGCATCAGACATGTTCAACTTAAAACTCCGCCCAGGGGATTTAGGGCCTCACTGGACATGTTCAACATAAAGTCTCGCTTGAAAGACTCGGCATAAGTATGCTTTGAGAGACTCAACCTAGAGTCTTGCATGAGGGATTTGAACGAAGTCTTTCCCGAGAGACTCACTTCTAAGCACCCCGCTTGAGGGACTTAGAGTCTCATCAGAGCGGCTCCTGTCAACTCCTTTTCCGAGGGACTTAGGGTCTCATCAGACAGACTCAACCTAAAACCCCGCATTGAGGACTTAGGGTCTCACTAGACAAGTTCAGCCTATAGTCTCTCCTTAGGGATTCGATCGAAGTTTTGCCCGAAAGACTCACCTATAATTCCTCTCATGAGGGACTTAGAGTCTCATCAGAAAATCTCCTCTCAACGCCTTACCAAAGGGACTTAGAGTCTCACCAAACAAGTTAAACTTAAAACTCCACCTGGGAGACTTAGGGTCTCATGTGACAGGTTTAGCCTAAAGTCTCACCTAAGGGACTCGACGGAAGTCTGGCCCAAGAGACTCAACCTATAATCTCTCCTAATGGATTCGTTCGAAGTCTTATCTAAGAGACTCGCCTCTAAACGCCTTGCCTGAGGGACATGGAGCCTCATAAGAAAGGTTCCCCGATGCATAAATTTATTAAGCACTTCACCCTTTAATAAAATTCTTGTGCTTGAGGTAGTGTGTAGTGATATATTTGTGAAGGACCTCCAAGGGGAGATGATACATATCGCTAACAAAGGACGATGGAATCATATCATCCGCGAGGGGTATGACATCGTCCTTTGACACTCTCATTCGTCAAGTATAAGGAAACGTGAGAAATGAGACGTCTTGGTCATAGATAATGCAAAAAAGGAACCAAGGAAATAATCCACGTCTCCCTAGAAAATAGAGATTCAACGGTCAGATACCCTTATTAGTTGGGCGGTTGTAATTTCCAAGAAGTCCTAAAAACTTGGCCTATAAGCCTCTATAATTGCCTCAACTTTGGAGTTAAGAGAAATATTCTGGATACACGATAAAACACCTCAAAAATATAGAACTTCTCACCTTACAAGAGCAGTCTCTCTCCACATCAAACACACGTTCAAAATAGGACCTCTCACCACGGTGAGCTTACCCTAAACCATCGAAAATCTTTAAAGTCTCTTGTTATTCCTACCGGTATAGGAGTGTCATGCATATGTACTTTTTAACAATTATGTGCATCAAAACGTAAAAATAGAGAACTAGATCAAACATAATGGATAAATAAAAACCCATTATAGTGATATGGAAGGCTTCTGCTAGTACTGAAATTCATTTTAATCAAAATTTATAATATTACAAATCAAAGACACATACTTATTCTAAAAATTCACTAACATCTAACTATAATCCTTTTCGTATGAATAGATATTACGGACACGGATACGACATCGATACTGACACGTCGATATTGATAATAATTTAAAAAAGTAAATAACTTAAATGAAACTACAAGCATCAGTGTCGTATTGGTATCCGACATTAACACAAACACATATTTTTTAGAGATGTAGGTACTAAAGAACTAGATATCAACTATGGTTTGTTCAAGGCACCTACAAGAAATACAACTACGGATACAACAATTTGTTTTGACTTGTGACCTGAAAAAGTCTTAAATATCCAACACAAGCCAAGTAAAGAAGTGAGTTTAAATAAAATTTTATCTATTAGTCTCCCTTGCCAGCTATTCTTGTAGTAGCTGAGTATGTTCCTATGATAGCGCTTATCATCCCCACAATAATAACCAAAATGCAAGTTGTTATCTGAAAATATTAAAAATGCAACTTGTCTTATAATTTGGATAGTTTCTCATAAATAGAATGATTACAGAAGAAGTCTTGATTGAAATACCTGCATATTTGATAATCTGCCACTGTGTAGCTTGAGATAACATGCACAAGGATAAATAAGTGCCTGTGATAAAACATAAAGATTATGTAAATAAATATCTGCTTCCGTGATGTATTTACATAGTAAGAAGAGTAAAGCTTGAATAGAGAACTTACAACTATCATTGACAACATAGCACCAATTAGTGCCATCACAGAACCTGCAATAAATTTGAAAGAATGTTAAACACCATAAATTCATTCTCTGTCATGAAGTTAAAAGTTTTTGTGGCTACAATCACGGTCATGGCCGTTTCTTAAAACCATGCCCGTGTGTAAACAAAGCAATGTGCATCCATGCTCTAAATTGCGGTTAATTATGCTACAAATCTTAAGCAAAATGCAGGCAAAATCGTCGCTGTCTTTCCGTTGCGAAGACCTCTTAAACCTTTATATTGATGTTCTAGACTGCGATATAGAACTATGATGTGCATGATGTTGAGAATAGTATGGAAAATACTTACCAAAATATGGAAAAGAGAGAGCCACAGCTAAACTTGCAAGAACTAAAGATGTTCTGATAACAATAGACATAGCATAACATCTTAGTCTAGGAGAAGGAACAAGTTCCTCTATGCTTGATACAATAGGCAATAATGTTAAGGCATATTTTGCTAGAGGAGTCACAACCTATATAAAACACAGAAATTTGTTTAAATGTGTGATAAATTTAATAAAACATAAGTTAAAAAGAAAGAGATTAATTTTGCATTCTTACAGTTGTCCAGATTGCTATCTTTGATGCATATAACTCTTTTGGCATGTTTAAGGTAAACTGAGATTGAACTTTGTCACCAAACAGTAAATATCCAACTACTCCTACACTAACGTACATCACAAGACAGAAAACAAAACTGCACAAAAGAAAATGAATGAGCAATGATCTTGAGTTATTTTACTCTCTAAAATGAGAAAAGTCACAAAATTCAATAAAGGATTTTATGCTAACCTGATATATAGAACTAATGGGAATTTGGATTGATCCTTCATGGAAGAGTAGACATTTGGAAAAACAGCATGGCCAGCAAATCCGAAACCAAAGAGACCAATTGATACAGATATGTTTTCAATGTCTAAAATTTTCATTCTTGGATTGATAAATCCAACTTGGTTTACTGCACCAGCCCAAAACAAGCAAAGTGCTACAAGTGTTGTTGCAAATATTCCTCCAACTGAATACAAAGGTGAAACAGTCATTAAGTGCTACATTTCAAAAAGAGAAGTTGTAAAAGAATTAAAGAACATGTGATTTGACCAAGAAACCAGTGTTAGAAATCACAGATCACGGTCAAATTCCGCTATGTTGTATAGCCATTGTTTGACAAAACCTTGTCTTAAATAGCAGAAGAATAGTGGTTTTACTCAAATTTCACTATGGTATAATGCTATAGTCATTATTTGACAACACTGTAAGAATCTAACCTGAAATATATGAAAGCAGGCTTAAATCTCGCAACCAAACTGTCGGTAAAACTAGAAGAGCTGCAGTGATGGAAAAAACTTGATTTGTACTAAGCTCTGTACCAGCTAAGTTCATGCTGGTGTCGGGGAAAAGTGATGTGAGGTTATCACTGACAAGTGTTATATACTCAACACAAGAACCCTACAGATAAATACTATGCACCTTTCAGCCCATATGAGAGAAAATTTTGAAAATGAACAGATAAAAAGAATTGGTCACAGATCAAACTCTTGAGCTTACAAATAGTTCCATGTATAAAATGATCTGCATTTGGACAAAACATAGTTGTTAGATTTCAATTGATATTCACAAACACTCAAAAACACGCTAAAGCACACACACACACAAGTTCTTTTAAACTTCGGTCTAATTCCGCTCACACAAGTTCTTTTAAACTTCGGTCTAATTCCGCTATATGGCCTCAATAGCAGTCATGCAAACATAAAAAACTTAGATGTCACAGTTAAGGTCGCAGTTGTAGACCTTTTGAAATTTAGGTTTACAACACCGACCTAGACCGCATCATAATGGTTTTTTATGTTGCGAAAACTTACCCGCAACCACTTTTGAGTCTACATCCGCCACATTTGATACAATTCTCAACAATATTAAGAATTGTAAGGTGACTGTAATAGTTACTTCGACCGTTTTTTAAAACCATGCTAGTAAGCTTATTGTACTCACCGCGATCCCCAAGCGACCTGCAATTCCAAAAGCAGCCTGGCCAATATCTGGATAGGTGTTGAGTTCAGGACGGCTTTGTAAACATCTCATCAATAAAATTCCAGTATAGCAACAAGTGAGAGCAAACAATATCAGTATTACAAGGCTCAACCATCCTCCTTCTTTTACAGCATACGGAATGGTCATAAGTCCGATCCCACATAATATATTGGTCCCTTCATTCAAAACAAATTTTACATTACTATACGCAAATGAAAAATTCTAGAACAAACTAAGATGATAATCATACATACCATTAGTCACTGATTGTGCAAAGGAACTTTGCCTCTCAGGTGATGAAAATTCAGTGGCAGAAACTTTTGGACAGCTGACATGTGATCGAAGTTGAGGTTTCGATGTAGGTTCCTCTTTTCCAATTGAAGTTTTCTCCTCAGAAACAAGCGGTAAAGTCAAAGAATTGGTAGATTCATCTTGGATGCTTTCCTTAGGGACACTAATCTTCCCTGTTGAACCAATTATCTTGAAGAAATTAATCCCAGGTGGTGTTTTACTTACACTTGTTAACATGTCCATAGATGTCCTACACATATCAACAAACAGATTAAGCGCACGTTTCGAAAACATCAAAGTCAAACCAACTAAGATGCTACACATTTTAAGCTTCTAAAATTCAAGGTGCAACAATCCTAAACTCACCATTGTAGTTATTATTGATCATGCATGCATGAGAATACGTCATTGTAATGTCAACATCCACATATTAAAATCAATTGGCCTATAACAACATTACCATGCATGAATTTCATAGTAATTATCATTATCTAAAAAAAATCATATGATACCAATTGAACAATGTTACGTGAATATAATAATTAAGAAAGCATGTATACATAACGAAAACTAAAGGTGATGAAAATGTTACAAGAATATAATAATTAAGAAAGCATGTATATATGTATATGTATATATTATACCTATAGGTTTGAGGCCATGAGGTATTAAAGTCAACCTCATTGAAGGATAAATTTTCTGAAGGTGGATTATTGTTATCTGATTCGGTATCATCATCCAAATTATCAAAAACCCTTTCAGCTTGATTTTCTTCATCATCTGTTTGAAAATCATCCTCACGGTCAGGACCAAGATCCTCATCAAACTTCATTTTACCTCCTGGCATTGCTAACAACGTTGTTGTTCCTTAATTTCCTCTAAACTATGTATGTTATAGAAAGAGAGAGGAAAATGATGATTGAAATTCAAAGAAACAAACGGATATTGTTCATGTTGCTTTGAACTGCGTTGCCGTAGAAATGTTTGTGTTACATATGTGGAGGTGACGGCTTCTCATATACATATCTTTTATATTAAAAATATTTCTCTAGGTTTTTATTTCTTTTATTCAAAATAGGTTGACTAGGATTCTTCCTTTACCTTCAGGACAAAAGTCCACAAAAAAGATAAAATGTTTAATTTATTTTTGGTATAAAATCTAAATTTGTTTAATAATAATCATGTTTTTATAGATAAAAGTAATAAATATATATGGACAGGTAGGAGTAGAAATAGATCAGACCGACTAATTAGAAGAAAAAAATTTAAATCTATAAAGTTAGTCTATTTAAGTAAATATTAATAATTTTATTATTATTATTATTTCATAATGTCTTTGTTATGTATATCAACTAGATACATTAATTATTCAATTAATCTAATATACAAAAATAAAATTTAATTAGCTTAAAGAAATTATAAAAATAAGTTTAAAATAATATTATGAACAGTGTCATAATTTATTTTCATTAAGTTTTCTTTAAAAAATGATATCATAAAATTTATGCGATTAAGTAAACTCGAATAAGTCAATACAAATAAATATTTAATCTCGTTGATCTTTTATTATTTGAATTACTTATTTATAAATACTCAAATAAAATAAAATTTTAAATAGATTAATATACCATTCAGACCATCAAAAAGGTCAAACTCAAACATAAAAATAAATTTATAATAAATTACAATTCAATCTCAAAACTTAAAGTTTTTAACACGTCAACTTCAAACTTAACAAATCTTAACATAACCAACCAAATCCTTAAAGTTTTTAACACGTCAACTTCAAATTTAGCAAATCCTAACATAACCAATCTAATCTTTAAAATTTTTAACACGTCAACTTCAAACTTAGCAAATCCTAACATAACCAACTTAATCACATCTTTATTGAGAAGGAAATGTGGCCCAAGTGTGATGTATATCAACTATTATACAAATAATTTATAAAAGTAGTATAATTTTTTTCTTTTATTTAACAATTATATTATCAGTAAAAATGCATAAAAAATCATTAATTAAATATTAGAAATTTAATTTCTAAACAATGTTATTTAAAAAATACACTATCTTTTATTATTTAATAAAATCTAATTTACTAATTCATATTAATTTTTCTTGTGTTTAATCTCATAAACCAAGGAGCAACTATATGCTAATATTTAAAAGTTGAGTTAAATAACTTTTTTATCCCCTTAAATATTTTAATTGTCACTTTTAATCTTGTAAAAATTTTCTTTAAAAAATTATCTTATTGTAAAATTTTGTGAGGGGTCAAAGATGATGATATACACTACAAAATAACTTGTGTTTTGCCACGTGAAAGCCACGTCGCTAACACCTAAATCACGTCACTAAGCAAATTTTGCCACCTTAAGAAACACGTCGCTATATAACGCGTGGCAATCTTGTTGCGGCGTGAAAAGCATGTCACCAAGTTGCCACGTGAAATTCACGACGCAACATACTGTATAGGATGAAAGTGTGCAGAGCAGAGCAGAGCAGTCACGTTTATATTTACGTTAGCTGTAGCGACGTGTTTTTCACGTCACTAATTAGTGACACGAAAAACACGCCGCAACTTGTTTTATTTATAAAAAAAAATTTGTGTTTTAAATATATTAATTATGTTTTAATAATTAATATTATTTTTTGTTTTATTAAATTTATAAATTAAATATTATAATTTATTTATTAAATACAATATTATAAATCAAATTATCAAAAACAAAACTAAATATATCTAAATGTATAAATAAATATACTTAATATTATAAATTTAATAAACTCAAATTTAAATTTATAATATTTTTAAATATACAATATGATTATAAATTTATATTACACAAATAAAAAACTAAATACAGAATAAAAATAAAACTAAGCAGAATCATTAGAGTCGTCGGAAATGTCGGGAAGAAAGTCATCATTATTTTGGTGGTTATCATTTTGGCCACCACTGTTGGGATTTCTACCAAATGCTTGCATAAATTGTCGCATTTGCTCCTCCATATCAGCTTGCCTCTTCGCCATTGCCTCAATTTGTCTATTATGTTCACCCCGCATTGCCTCCATTCGGGCATCCATTTGGGCCTTCAATGCCGCCTCACGATCTTCGGACTCGCGTCTAGCCAATTGTCTTACCAGTTCTAACTGATCTGGTGTCAAATTTGTTTAACGTGACCCTCCTTCACCGTCTGCAGCTCTCTGATACAAATTTCTATCCCCACTCCTCAAGGTTCCCGCCAAATTTCCACCACAAAAAAAACACCCGTTAGGCCCCTTTCCCCCAACAACTTGACTCCAAATATAGAAATCCACATCTGGATGAACCGGTTTTTCTGGAGGAGGCGTATACTGAGGATTATGGGTCAGAAATTCTACAAGCAACGCCTGATAATCCTCCTACACATACAATAAAAAAATCAAGTTAAATTTATAAGTAACATTAATGAAATTAAATGAAACAAAAAAATAAAATAAAAAATAAATAGCCACGTGATTGTAACGCCACAACTTATCAGTTGCCACTCAATTTTCACGCCACAACATGTCACTTGCTACATGAAAATCACGTCACAAAATTGCTTAAAAATTTATATCCGTTCGGTCCATTCATGAGTGTGAAATTTATATCCGTTCACGAAGTATGTGTGCCATTTGTTTGCACTTTGACGAGGGCCATTAGACAAGTTTCTCAAATGGAGTATTTCTGGAGTCGGTGCAATAACCCTATACAATTTCTCCTTGAACCATGTTGGAAATTGGGCATGAATGACACCAGATGTTGATTGTACACCGGTACTATCAAAGTAGGCGTTGTTAAATTCCCTAAAAAGAAACACACTATAAGTTTCAAGGTAATCAATTTTATATTCACACTGTAAAGAAAATTAAGAAGTTGGATTATACTTACTCAAGATATGGTTTAACTTCAACGTAGTTGATCAAGACATGAACATGTGCAGATTGCATTTCTTGTTGGGTCAACCAATGCTCACCCTTCTTTCCAGAGGGACGACCTGGAAGCCCGAAGACTGATAAGGTGTACTGACTTCTTTCGATAACATTTACAGGATTCCTTATGATTCTTGGAGTTAACATCAAGTGCTTGAAATAGTGACTGCAAAAATGTGAAGTTTCTCGATGCAAGTAATGTGCACATATTGATCCTTCAACTCTAGCTTTATTTTTCACTGATCGCTTTGAATCACCCATGAACCTTTCAAACGGATACATCCACCTATATTGAACAGGTCCTCCTAGATAAGCCTCATATGCAAGATGCACAGGTAGATGTTCCATGGAGTCAAAAAAACCAGGAGGAAATACTTGTTCCAACTTACAGATAATAACTGGAATATTTTGGTCCAACTTAATGATGTCATCCACTCTTAAAGCTGAAGCACAAATATCTCTAAAAAATTGACTAATTTCAGTGAGTGGATTAAGCACATGTTTGGGTAGAGAACCGAACGCAATTGGTGGCAATTGTTCCATAAAAACATGGCAATCATGACTTTTCATACCATGCAACTTCCCAGTGTTAGCATCAACACACCTTGATAAATTTGAAGAATACCCGTCGGGCATTCTCAAACCTTTTAGCCATCCACAAACCGCTTTAGCTTCTTGGGGGGTCAGACTGAAACAAGCTTTGGGTTTAAATAATTTTCCATTTGGTTGAGGCTTCAATTCCAACTCTTTACGATTACACCAAATTTCCATGTCTTGTCTAGCCTTCACATTATCTTTTGTTCTGTCTTTAACATCCATCACTGTGTTAAATACGTTATCAAAAAAATTCTTCTCAATATGCATAACATCAAGATTATGGCGCAACAAATTATCTTTCCAATACGGGAGGTCCCAAAATATACTTCTTTTTGTCCAATTATGTGTGACCCCATATCCTTCAATTCTACATGCTTTGCCAGTATCTGTAAACTTTGGAAGTTCACAAACTTGGTTCCATATAGCACCTGGTGTCAATCGAGGCGGAGGCAGATCCGTTACCCGTTCGTCCTTTTTGAAATTTGTCTTGTTTTTTCTAAAGGGATGATTTGATGGTAGGAATCTGCGGTGACAGTCAAACCACGAGCTTTTCCCCCATTTTTCCAATGTAAACGCCTTAGTGCATTCCATGCAATGCGGACAACCCATTCTGCCATGCGTACCCCAACCAGACAACATGCCATATGCTGGAAAGTCGTTAATGGTCCACATCAAGGCAGCTCGCATAGAAAAGTTTTGTTTACGGGATATATCATAAGTCCATTCTCCATTATTCCACAACCTCTTCAAATCATCAATTAAAGGTTGTAAGTACACATCAATTCCGGTTTTTGGACTCGACGGTACTGGAATGACGCATGTCAAAAACATGTATGGTTTTGTCATGCACATCTCAGGAGGGAGATTGTAAGGGGTTACAATAACTGGACAACAAGAATACGCACTTCCGGACGCTTGGACATATGGAGCAAAACCATCAGAGCATAATCCAAGCCTGACATTTCTAGGTTCAGCGGAAAAATCAGGATGTACCTCATCAAAGTGCTTTCGTGCATGGCCGTCAGATGGGTGTCGCATATTGCCTGGGCTTGTTTTGTTTGTATGATGCCATGTCATTTGACTTGCACTGTGCATTGAAGAAAACATTCTTTTTAACCTTGGTATTATTGGAAGATAAAACATGGACTTTACTGCTACCCGTTTTTGGTTACTGTTAATGGCTCTATTGCGAACTTTATATCTTGGACTATGACAAAACTTACATTCCTCTGACGATCCATCTTGAGTACCAAACTCGTTGTCATAAAACAACATACAACCATTAATGCAACA